CAAACAACAAGGGGATTGTTACAAAACTCTTTTCTCATCACTTTGCTGATTTAACATATGTATAATTCCTGGACCACACTCTGATTTTATTGGATTGGATAAATGTACCATTTTTTTTATTTGAAAACTTCACACATGTAAATAAAGGTTATCAGCAGTGTCTTTAACTCTGTTATGGATCTGTTTTATATATATATATATATATGCATATTAATACAGCAAGAAGCTTATCTATCTAGTGAATAAACAATATCTAAAAACTTTTACTCAAAGGACTGTTTACATATAATCAAATTTATTGAATAATTTATTTTTATGAAGCTGAAGGCCACTTTCACAAACGTCATTTCTAAATGTGGACTGCAAGTCTACAGAATCCTACATAGTTTCTTTTTGTGTAATCAACATAGTAATATTCAGGGTTCCAGTGTCTGCTTTTCAGAAAGAAGCACTTTTAGAACACAATTTCCTACACAGTGTTCACTACCTGTAGATTTATTAGGAAGTGGACAATGGATTATTTTTCAAATGAGAAGGTAAGAAAAAAAAATAAATCCATTCTCACTTGGTTATATGCACATTGAACTAGTATTAATCTAGGAAAAATAAGTAGAAATATTATTTTGGTTAAAAAATTCTTCTTATTTTGAGACATTTATCTCAAAGTTAAACACATGTGGTTACTTGCAATTGCCCTCTTCACTTTGGCACATCTAAACCACCAGAGAAATGATATATCATTTAGTTCTTAAGGGACACATTTGCATCATAATTTAAAGATGGACTTGAAATTGATAACACTATATTGTTTAAAATATATTTAAAAATTCAGTCTTTTACTCAAAATGTTACAGCAACACAGGTTGAGAAACTGATTCTTGAAAGTCTTTGGAGCATATAGAACTCATGACCTTGGAAAATAAATCTTGCATCAAAGAAAATCTTCATTCTCTCTGAAGTCTGTCTAAAATACAATATGTTGTTTTGTTTTGTACATTCGAATGGCTCAGAAGAACAATTTGTATGTCCTTTTGCTGTGCTCCTCTTTGAGATGTGAACTGGAACAGGGCTCAATTGCTATACTATTAATTCTCCATTTCTATGCTTCATCTCTTGTAGCTCTGACTGGAGAAAAACCAGTAGGTTCTGATGAGTTCAATACTACGAGGCAGTAAAGATGAACCTGAATTTAGTGGAGATTGGTGCTCCAAAATAAACATAACACCATGTGTCAAATAAAAAA